GAAAAGAATAAAAAAGAGCAATGGTGCGCTATTTTATAAACAGTGCAATATCATATAATAAAAAACATGCATAATATCAAAGCGTGCAATTAAAAATTTAAAGCATGTGTAATAATTATTGTTCGCTGCATGGGTTCAGGTAGAAGGTGTGAATTTAATAGACAGCATCACCTTAATATGCCCAGAAGAGGGTTTCAGAAAATGTGCTACTCCTCCACGCCCAATTCTATTAGACACCTAAAAGAATTCAGATGTAACACGATCTGGTGAGTAGGGTGGATAGTCTATACACACAAACCTCAAAGTCTTTAGGTGCTGTAAGCAGGGCTTACAGGTAAGTTCAACGCTATCAATTCACCGCAGGAAATTTAATGGGCATCGATTCACCGCAAGGAAGATCCACCGTGCGAACGGTACGCCCCAAGGATGTTCATCGTGAGAAAAGTTTACCGCGCGGAAACTTCTCCGTATAAATTCATTAGATATTATAATAATTTTATAATTGTTATATATATATATATATATATATATATATATATATATATATATATATATATATATATATATATATAAAATGGATTCTCCTGTTGGTTTCGACGTATGAGGATCTGACAGCTTAATTGATTCACTTATGAAATTTTGTGCGATAATCTTAAGCGGCACTTAAGACCCGCTAGTGATTTATAAAGGAAGCCGCATATGGAGAAAGTGTAAGGATTGTGAGATGAGATCACTGTTAGATTGGCTGACCTTTTAAGATCTTGCTTTCGCTTCTTGAAGATGATTCAGACAAGTAGATTGAGTCCACTAAAACACGTTGATCTCCATTCTACCCGCTCCAAGGCTAAGCGCTCAACGGTGTTATGTGGTATATTAACTGCTGACAAGTTGCTTTTCAGCTTGTCTTTGTATCTTGGCCATGGGTGTCCTACATTCCTGTACCCTGATCTAACTGGCTGTACATTAGGATCTTGGGTATTCTGTCATCAGACATTCTCAAGACAAAACCAGTCCACCGTAATTGAGACTGTATGATATATATATTTATATACAGTATTTACATTAGTCGGACTATTGTCCTCATCTTTGTCACCATATTTGTCACAACGTTTCGGCCGTTGTACGTTCCGGCCTTCTTCAGGTGGTTGGAATTTCGAACTGAACCCTTTATTTCGCTCACTGGGGTAGACTGTTCGAGTTCCACGTGCCATGTTTGATGGATGTCAGTTATCAGTTATCTCCTGTTAATTCCCCTCTCCTAGTTCTCCACAGTAATATAATATTCAGTAATATATATATATATATATATATGACTGAATATACAGAATATCCAACGTCGATAGTATGACTCGGAGTTTTAAGCAGTGGCTGAAATCTTCAGATGGAAATAAAATCTGACCGCTATTTCGCGTTCTCATTGTGATGATTCAATATTTTGTGTTAAAATTTGTTTATTTAATCATTGCTGCCTAAATTATATATATATATATATATATATATATATATATATATATTTTTAAGACAATTTTATGTTTATACATTCTTTTTATAGATGTAAATATTCAAGTAAATGCTCTGTTTATAATAAACAATATTAAACAACATTTACCGGCCTGAATATCCCAAAAATTTTCATAGAACACATCGACCTTGCTAACCGAACGCCCCTCTGTGGCCAAATAAAAAAAATAATTGTCGAACTTTTCATTTCATAATATATATATATATATATATATATATATATATATAATATGAATATATATATATATATATATATATATATATATGTGTGTGTGTGTGTGTGTGTGTGTGTGTGTGTGTATTTATGTAATAGAAAAGAACAGTCAGATAAATAATTCAAAGTTCTTTAGCATTTATGTTTTAATTTAAAAAAACAGTGCTCGATACGGAAGTAGAGCTTAAAATTATAATTATTTTTTTTTCAAGTATGTTTCTATCACGAGAGAAATGACTATGTTTCGAAACTGCAACTCATAGAATATTCTAAACATCACTTGAGAATGAAAATGTGTCCCAAATTTAAAGTTTAATTTTGAAATTAAACTTTAGGACTTGAGTTTCACTTTCGAAACAGTAATTTCTGTGTCGCAATGGAAACATTTTTTTAAATAATTATAATATATATATATATATATATATATATATATATATATATATATATATATATATATATATGTGTGTGTGTGTGTAATCTGAATGTAGAAGTGTCAATAAATCTAATAGAGTTCAAAGCCTATGTTACTTCTGCTAAGCGACTTTGAAGACTTGTTCTAAATTACAAAGAAGACAATTATATTCCTGAACTGCGTGAGAGAGAAAGATCATAAGAGAAGATAGGTCATAAGAGGATAGATCATAAGATGATAGATCATGAGAGGATAGATCATAAGAGGGATAGATCATAAGAGAAGATAGATCATGTGAGGATAGATCATAAGATGATAGATCATGAAAAGGATAGATCATAAGAGAGTATAGATCATGAGAAGATAGATCATAAGATGGATAGCGCATAATATTAGTTATTTTAAACCAAAGATTTAATTAATAAATTAATTAAATTAAAATGCATAATGTCAATTATTTACTTTTATTCTGTTTTTAAAATGTTTTAGAAACGTTGACCGATAAATTTAGAACCCATGACCCCCCCCCAAAAAAAACAACACCTTTCCGTAGCTCCTTCCCATTTTTACATTTCATGCCTTTAATCGGCACAAGTTAGCGTAGCAGTCTATGTTAATTGTTTGGCTTTTCTGAAGATAGTCCACAAAAATATTTCCCGTATGAAAACAAAAAATAAATAAATAAAATAAGAAGAAAAAATATGTTGCTATGACCCCCCCCCCCCCACCTTCTAACTCTTCGGTCTTGAATGTCTTCGTTAGCGGATAAGCCAAGTGCTGCCCACTAAATAGACCGTTGTTTGGTCTCCGGGTCATCATGGAGTAACCATTTTTCATCAGAAATGACAAGTCGTTTAAAAAGATTATCACTAGATCACTGGAAATTCTGCAATATCACCCTAGAGATGTCCACTTGATATCGTTTCTGGACTACATTCTAACATTTTTGCATGCACTTAGCTGACAGCTTCTGCTGACCTCAACTGCTCATAACTTACAAATCTACTACATTCTCTGCAGATCTCCAGTGTTTCAGAATTTCTTTTGGCCGAAATTCGTCGACCGGCAAAAATTAGGACACGAACATGGTCAACAATTGCATTGATTGATTTGCTTTTTACGGCTTATCAATCCTTAGCAGGTTATTTAAAGCCAGAAAATATTTTACATTGAAAGACTTTTGGGTGGAGGGAGATGATAATTTTAGTGATACAAGCCTTACTAATTAAGACGTAGCTTAGTCCAGGGTATGAGGATAAACTACATCTGGCAGCATGGCCTATGATCAAGAGATTAAAAGTTTTGAGGAGCATTGACCCACCTATTAATTACCGTTGTTCTAAATTCAACCTGGCGCGGGGTGGTAGCACCTGTTAGGGTCCCGGCTATGAGAAAATAGTGAACCCCAAAGAAACCTTACGAAAGTATAAAAATACATTTTTATGGTGAAGATTCCATCAACACATTTCATAGTAAAATGACCAACAATACTATTTATAGAAAATAACCGAAAATACCTATTTATAGTAAAATAAACAACAATACCTATCTGTAGTAAAATGACCAAAAATACCTATTTATAGTAAAATGATTAAAACTATCTATTTACCTGTTTATAGTAAAATGACCAACAATACCTGTTTATAATACAATGACAAACAATACCTACTGATAGGAAAATTAACAACAATACGTATTTATAATAAAATGACCAACAATACCTATTTACTGTAAAATGAACAATATCAGTTTATAGTAAAACGACCAACGATGCCAATTTATAGTAAAATGACCAACAATACCTATTTATATGAAAATTAACAAACAACAATACCAATTTATAGGAAAATGACCAACAATACCTATTGATAGTAAATTAGGAACAATAACTATTTATAGTAAAATGACCAAAAATACCTATTTATTGTATAACAACCAACAATACCAGTTTATAGTAAAATGTCCAACAATACTATTTAGATTAAAATTAACAACAATACCTATTTATAGTAAAATGACCAACTATACCTATTTATAGAAAAATTAATAACAATACGTATTTATCGTAAAATGACCAACAATGCTTATTTATTTTAAAATGACCAACAATACCTGTTCGTAGTAAAATTACCCAAGATACCTATTTCTATAAAATTAACAACAATACCTATTGATAGTAAAATGACGAACAATACGTATTTAGAGTAAAATGACCAACAATACTTTTTTATAGTAAAATTGACAACAATACCAATTTATCGTAAAATGACCAACAATACCTATTTATTTTAAGATGATCAACAATACCTGCCTATAGTAAAATGTCAAACAATAATTATTTATATTAAAATTAACAATACCTATTTATAGTAAAATGACCAACAAAACCTATTTATAGGAAAATTAACAATAATACCGGTTTATAGTAAAATGACCCAAATTACCTATTTATAGTAAAATGACCAACAAAACCTATTTATAGTAAAATTACCAACAATACCTATTTATATTAAAATTAAAACAATACCTATTTATAGTAAAATGACCAACAATACCTGTTTAAAATAAAATAAGGAACAATACCTATTTAGAGTTAAATTCTCAACAACACTTTTATGGCAAAACGACCAACAATAGATTTTATCTCTAGTTGAAGGCATAAAATTGTGTTCAAAATATTTAATTTTGGCATTAAATCACCCATAGATGTGTTGATATGTTGCTTAACAAAATCAACCAATCAATATCTGTGCCGGGGGAGAGAGTCATTTACGTATAATTGAATATAACTCGATTGGAATTAGAACTCGGCTCTCCAATTAACAATTCCATTACACCACCATCGCGTACAAGCTTACAGCACCTGGTATTCCAAAACGGTCACCCATCTAGGCACTGATCAGGATCGACGTTGCTTAACTTCAATAATCGTACGGGAACCGGTGTTTCAACGTGATACAGATCAACGTGATAGAAATGTTATATATTAATTTTTAATGGCAACTTCAACAAAACCAGTGTTGGTAGTTTGTAAAGCCCAAATGTTCAAGGGTATCAAGAAATGAGTTTTTCTTCTCTGTGCCATGTTCCTTTAGAACGTGAGCGATTATGGCTCTCCACAACATCTTGCCTTTTGTAAGCCTTAATAAAGATTGTCTTTTTATGATCTCTCCTAATCTCTGTTCTGCAAGCCATTTACACAAGCTCGTTCGGCAGGGGGTTACACACTACTTTCCTCTCCATATTTCTTTTGCCTTCAATATGTCATGTGAGTATCAAATTTTCTAAGCCCACTTTTCATGTGCCCTAGAAATTTAAACTGTCTTTTACTAATGCTAAGCATCGGTGTCCTTTTTGTTTTCATATAACCTAACGCTGTCTTGTAACTCACATGTTCACTCCATGTCATTCTCAGCATCCTTCTGTAGAACCACATTTCTGTTGCCTCAAGTATCATGTTCTCTTTCAGATTCTAAGTTTATAAGTGTCTTTTTTGTTTCCATTTTCTCTAAATAATTCTTCGTTACTCACGTGTTCAGTCCTTTGTATTCTCAGCATCCTACTGTAGAACCACATTTTTGTTGCTCCATATCTCTTCTTAGTCTGTGAGTGAATTGTCCAGCATTCCCTGCCATATTTGAGGACTGATATTACGTAACAGTTCAGTACGAAGCGTACGAAAAAGATCGCATGTATTTATGATTGCGAATTCAGAGTTGTCTTTCTCCTAGACTGGCTACCACACAAGGCAAGAGATCTTGAAAAGGGATCTCATTATTTACATTTTTTTTCTCAATAGGGTTAATGTCTTCATAATGTTTGTCATTTTCATGTTTCAGCGGTTCAGCGTTCGGGACATCTTCAGATGTCTGTCGATACGAGTAACCTTCAGAGAGTGTCTCCTGACGAATTTTTGAAGCGATTCAGTCTTTCTTATCATATCGCGAAATGAAAGTTGCCCTGAATGGCGACTCTTCTAGATCCCTTTCTACTAATGCAGGTGTCTTCCCTCCGCCCAGGGCTCTATCCTTGATTCTACTTTGTTTTTAAACAACCCTCCTGATCACATCAGTTCTCAACGTGATATCTATGCTGATGACACAACTATTTACTCCTGTCTCGTTAGTAAATCTGATCAGTTCGATAAGGTCAAATTGGTGGCTGATCTCAAAAATGACCTTCGGTCTGTTGCTAACTGGGACAAGGAATGGCTTGTTACTTTTAGAACAAAACTGATTTCTGTTAATCATCTGACAGACAACTTTCTGCCTTTCATCAGCATGGCTGATGCTAACCTCCAGCTAACATTCTCGCCTGACACGACGTGGAAAGGCTATATTGAATCCAATGCTAGGTCTGATGCTAAGAAAGTTGGTTCACTGTGTCGTCCTGGACAATATCTCTCTCCAGAATGTATCTTACATATCTATATGTCTATCATTCGTCCATGCTTTATTATTGTCACATATGGTCCGGTGGTCTTGTTATATATTTAAGGATTCTTTATAAAATCCAAAGAAGAATCAGCAATATTATTGGTCCTGATATGGCATATCGGCTTCAGTCACTTTCTCACCTCTGTAAAACTTCTTCCCTATAAATTTTCTATAAATAATTGTCATTTTTCTGATGCGCTTTTCGCCATGGTACCTAGACTTTATGAATTTAATCACACTACTAGGTTAGCGACAAATTCTCATCAATTTACTGTTGAATTACGTAGATGTAACCGTAATTTCTATTACTTACATTATTTACATTATTTGGAATGTTATTTTCTTCTTCATTGCCATATTCACAACGTTTCGGCCGTTGTATGCTCCGGCCTTTATATCTATGTCTCTCTCTATATATATCTATATCTCTGAGATGAGGTATTATGATTACTTGCATTATTTACATTATTCGGACTGTTATCCTCATCTTCATTGTCATATTCACAACGTTTGTGAATATGACAATGAAGATGAGGATAACAGTCTGAATAATTTAAATAATGCAAATAATCATAATGCCTCATCTCAGAGATATAGACAGATATCGTAAATTCTATGTTAAGTGTTTCTTTTCTCGCACTTTTCCCTTCTGGAACTCGCTTCCGGATCCATGCTTGCCAGTCGACATTAATCTTTAAAAATTGAAATGCAATGTCAATTGTTATTCACTGTCTTCGTGATTACTCTTCTGTTGTTCATTAATAATGTTTCCATTTTTAATTCTTTCACACTCAGTAACCCCTTGTGACTTTGTGGCTTTACTGCCTTGCTTGGGGTGAATCTGATTAAAAAAATTGAACTTTTTATTTAATTTACTGAGGTATATTTATAGGGATATTCTAGGGTCATCTTGTCTTGTTCCTTCTGGCGCTGTCTGTCCCATTTCTATTGTGTCTAAGTCTCTATTACCCAGCCCAGGGACTGGACAGAATTACTATGACACCACATTAAACAATGATTGAATCTACTAGGCTACTGTGGCGACAGACACCTGATGAAAGCCGTAGAACACAAGGACCGAAACGTTGTGGTAACAACAACAAAGATCAGGATATTATTCCGACTGCAAACAATGGAAACTCCACATTGCTGTAATTCAAACAGAATATATTTATTTTCTTTATAAAAGTCTTGAATAGGAAATATCTACTGAGTGATCGAACCGCGGATACGTGGAGTCCCAGTTGATGATTCAGCGGATGGTGCGATCAAACACACACACACACACACACACACACACACACACACACACACACACGCACGCAGACGCGCATTTGAGCTCTCTGGCGAGGAAGTGTGGGTTTGTAAACAGTGATTATTACGGCTAATAATGCATGACTCTTCGGTAAATCGAATCGAGTTCTCTCAGTCACTGTGTGTTTATCTAAAAATAAACACTTTCATGTATGTATGTTCATATATATATATATATATATATATATATATATATATATATATATATACATACGCCCACAACGTTTTGGTTTAACAAAAGTTTTGAATACGAAAGGATTCGATTGGGTCAACCGCGAATAAGTGAAGTTGCAATTGCAATTAGATATCCGCGGATGGTGGGGGTAATGTTGCATTTTATATTTGAAAAAATATCCCACTGTATCCGCAAATGCAGAGACTAAGAAGTATTGTCAACTGATCCGCAGAACAAAACTGGTTCATGCTCTGAAAGACATAATTTCTTTGAGGGTCACTCGGTGCTAAGCAATGAAGTTAAGAACGTGTATAAGCAGGCCTTTGCCTTCTTTTGTCTTCCGAATGTTTCCAAAATATGAATTTCGATTAACAAAAGCAAATAGAATTCTGTTAAATTATATCACAAAGAAAATAGAAAAAGGAAAGAAAAAAAAAAAACAAATAAATAAACTTTCATATTTATTTTTTTTGTAGAAGAGAGATCATTCGGAATATTTTACAAGAGTCGCTGACAACCCGTGACTCACAATAACCGGGAAACACATAGCATGATTATTGTCACGAAAACCGATTCAGTCATTTTGAGGTCGCAACACATTAATCGCGTTACTTAGAACGATTACTTAGCTACTTATAAAAGTTTCATTATAAATAGTCTTCTTCTATGTGCCATGTCCCTTCAGGGTGTTGGTGATCATGGCTCTCCACATTTCCCTGTTCTATGTAACTTTTAATAAATTCTTTCGTTTTGCTATCTATCTCAAGCATTGCACCGCCATACTCAATCTGGCCAGGTATGTTGAGCATTGCTTTCCTCTGTTCCTCATTTAAATCTGTCAGGTGAGTATTAAATTTTCCAAGCCTTCTTTCTTCATTATGTGTTCAGAAATCTCAACTGTCTCTTCCTGATCTTAAGTATGAGTGTCCTTTTTTTATTTTTTTTATAAATGTCAAATTTGAAAATAATTACCCACTGTTAGCTCTTAGTAAATGTTGTCTTTTCTTTATTTCTCCTAAATCTTGTTCTGTCATTCATTTACACAATCTTGTTAGGTAGGTTATACATTGTTTTTCTGGGTCCCTCTTGCCTTCAATATGCCCTGTAGGTGTCATATTCTTCAAGCCTTCTTACCTCATTATGTGCCCAAGAAATTTCAACTGTCTCTTTTTGATTCTAAGTATAAGTATCTTTTTTTTTGGGTTCCATTTTCATTAAAATTTCCTCATTGCTCACATGTTCCGTTCATGATATTCTCAGCATCCTTTCAGCAATATCTAATCTGTCAGCTGTATACAACTTTGATTGAATGAAACCTGGCAAATATTCTTCTTGTGGAAAAACAAAAGCAAAACACCATGAAAGTATAAAAATTACGTTATAGTAAAAATACTAGTAATACATTTTATAACAAAATGACCAACAATACATTTTATCTGTAGTTGAAGAAATTCAAAATGTATTTAGTTGAAGCAATAAAATGGTGTTCAAAATATTTAGATTTCGGTATTAAATGACCCATAAAGGTGTTGATATGCCGCCAAACAAAAATCAACCAAACAACAGCGCTTAATAGATTAGCAATAAAAATCTTGCAAAGTTTCTATACTTGTTAAGTCCAGAAAAGTATCACTTAAATTAACAAAAAGTACATTAGCAGTTTTGTTTAACAAAATAATATTAAATTAAATATATTTAAAATATATAAAATAGGGATTGCTGTCAAAATACACAGCTATATATATATATATATATATATATATATATATATATATATATATATATATATATATATATATATACAAAAAAAGGTTAATGGTGAGAGTTGAATCAGACCAGGAAACAGTAGTATTAAAAAGTGCTCAATACACGTGTAAAAAAAAAAAACAAAAACAAAAGTAAAAATAACATGTAGAGGTTTTAACTTTAAAAATCAGGTCAGTTGAATCCGCTATCTTGGTTTCACCCTTAGGGAATATATATTTTAGGATATACATTTTAGGATATTTTACGGTATATATATTTTA